AACTCCAGGCTTTCTACCAAACTAAACTCCAGGCTTTCTACCAAACTAAACTCCTGGCTTTCTACCAAACGAAACTCCAGGCTTTCTACCAAACTAAACTCCAGAATTTCTACCAAACTCCTGGCTTTCTACCAAACTAAACTCCAGGCTTTCTACCAAACTAAACTCCAGGCTTTCTACCAAACTAAACTCCAGGCTTTCTACCAAACTAAACTCCAGGCTTTCTACCAAACTAAACTCCAGGCTATCTACCAAACTAAACTCCAGGCTATCTGCCACACAGAGATTTCTGAACCTTTTATATCTCTGTTTCTTCTGATGATTGTAGGCTGATAAGCAGGTGAAATGAGCATCTCTCCTGCTGAGATCTCAGACTGTGTAAAACTCTATTTCATCCCTTTATGTTTCAGGTGCTGCTTTATTTTCACAATAAACCAAATAAATCAGTTGTTGTTGTTTGTGTTATTGTGCTGCCTTGAGGTTTGCGTTGCTCTTATCTGCTCTAATTTGTCTTTCTGTTAGTTTTTCTCTCTTATTGTTTTTCATCTCTGTCCGATTGTTTGTTTTCATAAACACCTTGGAGGCTTTGAACGTCTCCGCTGCACATTTTTATTGCTTTTATTAGCTTCTGGTTTCCCTCTTGTACTCGTCACAGAGCTGATTTTTATATAAACAGTTTAAATGAGAGTAAAATGTGTGTGTGTGTGTGTGTTGCAGGACGTACGCAGTGCGGCGTGTGCGGGATGCCTTCAAGGCCAACAGGAAGGTGAAGGATCCAAAAGCGGTGGTAGAACTGATGGAGAATGGACAGCAGATGCTGGCGTTGATTCAGAGACAGGTGTGACACACACACACACGCGCACACACACACACACACACACACACACACACACACACACACACACACACACACACACTCTCGGGTGGTTTTATTTCTGTTTCACTTAAACTTAACTAGATTTTTTTTGTTAAATATGAAGTCATTTTAAGGGAAAGAAGTCAAAATGTCCTCACAGAGACACAGACTCTGCAGCCCCCCCCCCCACACACACACACACACATACATGAAACCAGGTTGACTGAAATGTAGATGAACACCTGTGGGCCGGCTGACCACCTGTTCTGCACACGCAGCCCCTCATTACCACGGCGGCTGCAGGCTAATCACCCCACTGTTGGTCACTTTGTTCCCATAATGCACCAGCAGCCTCTCAGCCAATCCCAGCGGAGGACGGTCTGTCTGTCCGTCTGCCTCTGGTCTTCATCTGAGCCTCATCAGGCGTCTGCACCACATTTAATAACCTTGAGTAAAAAACACAAAGGAAACGTTTGAATCCTAAATGTTTCTGAACGGTTGAGAAGAAACATTGAGACCTTAAAGCAGCAGAACCACGTCTCTGAGGGTCTTCATGAAGACAGGAAGTAAGTGGTTTCATATTTAGTGACAACTGGGGTCTTAGAAAGTCCTGAACCCAGTCTGTMCTGGACCAGCAGAAACCAGGACATAAAAACATGTTTCCACTGACAGAAGCATGGTTTTAAATCTGTGTAATTAAAGATAWTTGTGTTGAGTCTAATCACCGATGGTGGTGTTCCTGAGGCTGAAGGTTTAGTTTTTCATTCTTCCAGAATAAATCAGTGAGAGAGGAGCAGGTCAACTTTAAATCTCCTGACATTTGGGTTAAACTCTGCGTCCTGTCAGTCCACGGTAACGATGACATTTACATGCTGACATTTCAGGAGGGAGTCGTTCTGTTAACGCTTTCAACGCTTCGGTTAGGAGGTGAAACAGGAAGCACAGAGCGAAAATAACAAACAATTAACTCATTTTATATTTTATTAATCAGTTAGTAATGAAATGAGACGCAATGAAGCAAATTTAATCAAACTCTGTTTGGATACATGAAAATACAAGTTTTATTGTGTTAGACATAAAGAAACATGATTTAATCCATGAGCTTTAGGTTGATGAGACTTAAACAAAAAAGTTTTATGATAGAAAGATGAGATGTAATCTTTGTTAGACACAACTGAGTGATCTGAGGTGTGTTAGTGACCTACTGTCCTACTGTCCCTAGTGTCTTACTGTTCCTACTGTCCCACTGTCCCACTGTCCTACTGTCCCACTGTCCCTACTGTCTTACTGTCCTACTGTCCTACTGTCCCAACTGTCCTACTGTCCTACTGTCCAACTGTCTTACTGTCTNCACTGTCCCACTGTCCCTTCTGTCCTACTGTCCAACTGTCCCTTCTGTCCTACTGTCCAACTGTCCTACTGTCCCTACTGTCCAACTGTTTTACTGTCTCACTGTCCCAACTGTTCAACTGTTTTACTGTCTCACTGTCCCACTGTCCCAACTGTTCAACTGTCCAACTGTCCTACTGTCCAACTGTCCTACTGTCTTACTGTCCAACTGTCCCTACTGTCCCACTGTCCTACTGTCCCACTGTCCCACTGTCCTACTGTCCCAACTGTCCTACTGTCCCAACTGTCCTACTGTCCCAACTGTCCCTTCTGTCCCTACTGTCCCACTGTTCCAACTGTCCCTTCTGTCCAACTGTCCCTACTGTCCCTACTGTCCTACTGTCCCTACTGTCCTACTGTCCCTACTGTCCCACTGTCCCTACTGTCCTACTGTCCCACTGTCCCAACTGTCCTACTGTCCCAACTGTCCTACTGTCCCAACTGTCCTACTGTCCTACTGTCCCTACTGTCCCAACTGTCCTACTGTCCCTACTGTCCTACTGTCCCTACTGTCCTTACTGTCCTTACTGTCCCAACTGTCCTACTGTCCCAACATCCTACTGTCCCACTGTCCCAACTGTCCTACTGTCCCTACTGTCCTTACTGTCCCTACTGTCCCTACTGTCCTACTGTCCCAACGGTCCCAACTGTCCCAACTGTCCTACTGTCCCTACTGTCCTACTGTCCTACTGTCCCTACTGTCCCTACTGTCCAACTGTCCTACTGTCCTACTGTCCAACTGTCTTACTGTCTCACTGTCCAACTGTCTTACTGTCTCACTGTC